TCTACAGTGTGATAGCTACATGTTTGATGCATGATGTCAGTCCGTCATTAGTGCAGATAGATCTCTGAAAGTAATCAGTATTTCATTTAGCTGGTAGATTCCCGCAATTCTAAATAGCCTACCCAGACTGCACCAGTAAAGGTTTCTGAAGATCCAGTCTTATTTATGAAGGAAAACATCTTCATAAATAAGATTCATAATTTTTGTGATTTCTCTTATTTAAAGTTGCTTGTTTTGTCTTTCATACTTTTAAAATGCTGATTCAATTTGCATAGCAAACTATATGCTTGGCACCCACTTTCTTAGTGGTAAACTTCTGAGATCAAAGCAGGGCTCATACAGTACCAAGTCTCTTGGTTTGCTTTTGCATCTGAGGCAGATCTCTAAGGGGATCTCTCCATGGGAACAAAAAGGCAAATAAACTAATTCTATTTATTTAATTCAGTTCCTTAGCCTAAATTAGCTTTATTTCACTGGCATCATCACCTAACCAAATCTGGCTACTGTTTTGTGATTCAAAAGTATAATTACCCTACTTATATAATACTATATTCTTAAAATGTCTTCTGTCTAATAAAGAACATATTGACACCACGGTACAAGCTCTTTGCTATAAATAGCACTTAATAGTACTGTCTGAAGGTGTGATACTCCAGGCGTTGAATCCTTTAAGGAGAAACAGAAGTCGCTGTAGCACAGCTGATTTCACGTTCAGTCATATTATCAAGAACTTTTCAAATTTCTAGGCAACTTTATTTATAACCTCACAAACTGAAATAAGAAGTCTTGGTCTGGGAAATGAAATATATCATAGGTTCTCTTTCTAACACTAAGTTCCATGTTAAGAATGGCATTTCACCTAAACACAATCTTAAGCCTGTTCTTTGAGAGCTGTTGTGCAAGCTTTTATTACCAAGATGCGGAATGATACTGCATGGCTGTGTTCTGTGAATGTTTGTTGCACAGAACCAGTTCTTAAGAAACGACTATTTCAGGTAAGTAAAGTATTTCCCATTGCATTTTTGCATACATCATATGTTTTCCTTAAGTTTTTTACTATGATATGAACATATATCACACAGATGCAAATGAAATATGAGAAAAGGGCTTTCCTAGCAAAAGGTTTTGTGGACTTAACTTCATCAGATGCATTTAGTTGAGAAAACCAAACGATTGTGGTTATAATTCCACATTTTTTGTAAGAGTAGTAAGATATTTAAAACTAAAATTAGTTCTGAATTAGTTCTTTATTGTAAAGAACTGAATAGAACTTACAACTATTACTTGTACAGCCAGGGAATGAGGCCTTCGATTATTTTTCAGGAAGCTAAAATTTCCACATCTAGTCTTCCATAATACAGAGTTTTAAGCAGCAGTGTTCTCATATTCCTGTGCTTTGAAATTTCACTTTGTTTGAAAGTCAATGTGACGTTAAAGCTTTGGCTGAAATGTAAAATGTACAAAATACTTCAGTAATACTGGCGTGCGTCAATTAACGAAGTCTCTGACAAAGAAGCTCCATTTTACAAAGTCTTTTTACAGTAGCCCACTAACTAACTGGAAGAATTTTTTTAGCAGCATCAATATTGGATGATGGTGAAGGAGGGCTGGAGACTTTCAGTGCCACTTAGCAGTGCAGTATGTCTGCAGTAAACAGTGCAATAAAGCTTCAGCTAGGAAATAATGAGATTCTGCTCTTGCCGAAGCTTACTACGTCTGTGTGCGCCTGTCAGCAAAGGCCAAGGTAAGCAGCAGCTGCTGCTTCCAGAATCCCTTACCAAACATGCATGAACAGCAAAGCAGAGAAATGGGAAAAGCAGATAAGTGCTCCTCAACAGCTACCACCAGCATTAGAAGGAATGATAGAACTATATATTTGGCTACCAACATGAAAACAAAGAGCAATGAAAGAAAAAATGACTCCTGGATTCATTTTGGAAAATTATTTGAAGTAGTCTCAGAAGATTTTGAATTTTTTTTGTTTTCTTGTGCAAGGTTTATCTGATCCAGTAGTTTCATTTTGTCTGTGTGTTCTGTCATTTTTGAATAAAAGTTGGTTGAAAAACATTGAACTTCTCTTTTGTAGTGTGTGAACCTATCCCTATACTTTCCATGTTTTCCTGCTTCTAGTACCAAATTTTCTGTTAACAAAGTAACATCCACAGACATTTTTAATCGAGGTATTTCCCTACTACCTAAATGTTAATTCTGTAAAATTAAAATTGTATATCTAAAAATGTTACTAACAGTGTTGACTACAAGCTATTTCAATCCTGTTTTTAAGCATATTAACATAACAATATAATAGTTAATATTGAAAGTTTTTTTACCCGTGTGGTCTCAAAGATGTTGACATTTTCCTTTGTCATCCTTCAAAATATACAGTAAGTAGACTTAGTATTATCCCTAATTTACAGTTACAGGCTATGAGAAAGTGAGTTTCATAAAGAAATGTAGTCAAGTTAATGATTGAGCTAGGTTTCATGGAGAGGCTTAGAGATTTCTAGCTAATACATCACATTATCTATTCTGGGGAAAATTTTGAAGCCATGCATGGTTGTATCCATAAATGCACAATCCGTGAATACAGAAGAATAACTTAATTCTGCTTTCGTCAGAATAGGCTGCAAAATACTTCAATCAGCTTGCACCCTTGAACAGAAGATATTTGACAACACTTGATTAGTTCTGAGAATGTACACCAATGCCTTCAAACTTTTAATATTTATTTACATCAAGTTTCAAAACCCCTTTGTTACAAACTGCAGTGCAGCTAGCATGGAATGTGTGCTACAGCTTTTAGTGGCAGAATTAGTGCACTTTCTGGATGGAGAGAGTTTACCATTGCGAACCTCCCACTAATGGAGCAACAATATACAACATGATGTATTTATTGTGGGTCACATCTTCATATATACTCATTGTGACCAGCTTTGAGAGTTTAGATACCACTTGAGAAAATACAAATTACTGACATAGTGTGACACTATTGGCCACTCATTTATTTGCTCCTTTTCTTTATATTTAAATTGTATGTTAAAACTGATTTAACACTTTTCCCTGCAAGGAACAAATGCCAGCAAATTCTTGTCCGGTGGATCATGCAGTCCAAGGCGGGGCAGGGGCCGCATTAACTGATACGGGATCCAGTTGCTTGGCCTGTTAATAGTTAACTTCGTCCCTAGTAGTTCAAATCTCTTCCAGGTGACTAAGCGTAACAATGTTTAGCTTCCTGAGTAAGTCACTCTGCACTAAAACTCCATTTTCATACTACCTCCCCCTTCCTTTATTACAATTGTGACTTTCACAAAGGCATTGCTCCCTGAGTTAAAAGACCAGCACTGAATGCCTGTCAATAGTGCAGCAGAAAACTTGCAGTTGGCTCTCTTCCAGCTTTGTAATCTCTTCTTGTAAAATAAGCATAAAATATTCAATGTCTGTTGATTACCGTGTCTATACTGTTACTTTGGGTGGACATTTCTGGATTGTTCAGTGTAAACTTAAAAAATAATAAATTGTAGAATGAAGATTAAATGTTTGAAAGACCACAAAGGTTTCTGTTTTTTCTCAAGACTGCAGAGAATGGAATTTGGAGTGGGAGTGGCAATGTAGCTTTAGGAGTGTTTGCTTGTGTCGGCGTAGGAGCCATCTGTGGTACAATCCTTTGCAAAACAGCTTCATAAATAAGATTCAAAATTCATCTGTGATGGAGCTGTTTTGTTTCGAGAGTGAATAACAATGAAAGGAAGAGCCTAAGACAGAAGTTTGTACTCCAATATGCAAAATAGAATTTTTAGAGAATCAAATATTTCAAAACTTTTGTTCTATGTCACGGGTTTGCTGTTTTGTAGAAACCATTTCTAACACCAGTATGTCAAACTGCACATTATATTTGCGTGCAAAAAGAAAGCATTACAAGTTAGTGCTCCAAACATTAAATCTGAGATCATCTGCATAAAGAAAAACACTTTGTGTTCCGCTCAACAGATCTTTTGTTCCAGAGGAAAGCTACAAAAGAAGTCTGACACTTTAGCTTAGAAACATTAATTGAGTTAAAATACTGTCTTGACAATCTCCTTGGCTCTCCTCCTGTGATCCTTGCTAATGACAATTACCTTGTTGCCATGACTGTCTAAACAGATTCGCAAAAGCTTCTTGACAAACGGAAAACGTTTCTCCACCCAAATGAATAATGCAGTGTTGTTTTCAGCCAGTAGAGAAAACTGGGTGTATCAGGGATAATTTCACTCGTACATAGCTAGGGGAACTCTTGGCTTCTGCACAGTGACAGACAGGAAATTTAGCCTGTAGTCTGCATTTCTGGAGAGATGTTTCCTGTCCACATATACATGGCTTTTGAAATCAGCTGTACCCTGAAAACATGACTTCTTTGTGACTCAGATACATAGGTTTTGTGAATGCACATGGGCATTAGCAGCATCATGAGGAAATTAAGAGATTTCTTATACATTTGTTTAGTTATTTTTAATATCAAATACTCTAAAACCTTTTCCTCCTACTTTGAGATGATAAAGAGAACTGTACTTATTCAGTGAGATCGTATTAAAACAATGTATGGCTCTCTTAATAGATTTAAACAGAAAATTGGTTTATGGCTATTATTTGTAGTGCATTTTGTTCAAAAATCAGAATTCTTAGTAAATACAATGCTTGCCCACAATGCCCCCTGCCTCATGCACAGAGGAAGAATTTTTTAAAGTCACAGACAATACCTTTTTTTGGTCAAAAATTATCTAGCTGCTTGTGCTCCCTCTATTTTATCAGTTTTATACTTACTTATGCAATGCTGTGGACATGAAACAAATAAATAAACCAGGTTGAACTTCAGGAAATACTGGTTGTCTTTAAAAACTGGTTAACTTTCCTGAAGCGAATGTGATTTAGAGAAACTGCTTAAAACTTCAAGTAATATGTGTCAAATATTCTGCCGAATACAAAACTAATTTTTAATCTCATTTTGTTTCATATGTGATACTTAGGTTCTCAGGTGGCTTCCTTTAAAATGAAGACTCCAGTGACCTTGAACCCCCCATTTCAAGTGAATATGAATTCATCTGGACAAGGGTCATCTCCTCTTTTGAGTCCTGTCTTGAGTGATGTTGGCGGTGCAAGAATAGAAGAAGAGGATGAAACAAGGCGGAAGGTAAAGCAGGGGTAAAATGAGTCTAATTTTTAAAAGGATGCAAATTATATTTCTGTTCATTGCATGATTCTCAGCTTCTGCCATTTTCTACATTTCTATTAGCACAATATTAGCATGTTTAGACCATATTCTAGTCCGCTCTTTTTCCCCCTCCCCCAAAAGTCACTAGCCCACTTAATGCATAATCCTTTCCGTGCATAGGTTTCTAACCAATTCATTTTTTCTGTCATAAAATAATTACATTTCGTTGGGGTGTATTCTTAGCTGTTTAACTGCTAAGAAACTACTCTCCTCTTGTATCCACGTCATGGCTAAATGAAAGCTAAATGTTATTCCAGAAAAATAAACCGCAACTTAGTAGCTTGAGGTGGCATGGAATAATAATGTAAAGGCTAGACACAGTTTAGCAAAATGGATTAAATTCGGCTGTTTTAGTCATCTTTGATATACCATGCTAGAGTCCAGTATTTGACCATTCCTTCTGAGAAACATGTTATTTTTTAAGCACGTGTTTCTAAAGGTTGGAGTAATAAAGACAAACCAGAGTTTGTTTTTTAATTGTCCTTGGTTAACAATACTAATATTTGTTAAGGGCAGTATTGATTATTGCTAGAGATTAAATCATGGGAATATCAAACTGCCCAAAACAAAAAGCAAAATCCTGAGATCATTTATGTGAGAAAAACCATCCCTCCCCCCACTATAAACACTAGAATTCCTGGGAGTTTTATTTTAACATAATATAAAGAAGGTTTTCAGGTTGACTTCCACAAGAATGAGCTGACCATTTAAAATAATTTTGACTTCTGTACTAAGGTCTTTTCTATTAAAAATCAGTTATTACATATGAAGACTGTTGATCTGTTATCTTATTGAACTATAGATATATATTGAAAATCACACTTTTTGATTTCCAGTGTTTAGATTATTCTTGTTTCTGGATGCTCTGTGTTGAAGAAACAGAAGCCGTTGTAAGCAATATGACTTTGCACAGATGTTTACTGAGATGAGCAGCACTGTCTGGAGATCTCAGGCAGTACCTCCCACTTTACGCCAGCTGTTTTTATTGTCCTCAGCCTCATAAATTGGCTCTCTTAGAAACTTCCGGGAGTGGAGATGTACTTTTAAAATAGATCGAAAGACCCTACTGCATTGTTTAACATATAAAAAGAGTCATGTTGCAACATTTGAAAGGCAACATCTGATCACCTCTACTTTTCTTTCTTTTTCCAGCCCTTTGGGCAATGTTTGCAGCCCCTGGATGGGATGCAGGATATAAACATTGGTCTCTGGACCAGCTGCAGCTGCCCACACAGATCTGCAAACTTGTTAGAATCAATTCTCCCACAGTGCTGCTGCCATCCACATCATTCATATACAAAAGGAGTGATAAATCTGTGGCCCTCCAAATGTTTCGCTTTCAATTCCCATCAGTCCTAGCCAATCTGGTCAAGTGTGGTGAGAACTGTAATTCCAGCACCTATTAAAGGCTATAGGTCTTCCCAAGTCTGGCCTATACTTATGGCCTATAGACTTACTGCGCCTTCCTACCTCCGCAGGGGTGGTGGACCCATTAAAATGGTCCACCCCAGGAGACTTATGGATCCAAATGGTTTCCTGATGGCTCTTGGGGATTTTCCCGCCTCCTCAGTAAGTGACCCTGTCGTGGCCCTGGTCTCTCTCTGGGATAGGGAGATGACCAGGGCTATAGACAGGATCGCTCCAGACACCCCCTCTCGAGTAACCAAGCTAAACCAGCTACTTGTTTCACTGAGGAGCTGGCAGCAATGAAGCGAAAGAAGAGGTGGCTAGAGTGCATGTGGCGACGGAAGCGTAACGGGTCTGTCCAAGCACATCTAGTTTCCTTTTTAAGGATCTATGACGCAACAATAAAGGCTGCAAAAAAAAAACCAACAAAAAACAAGACATCTCTTGCGGCCAATATTGCGCCCACCAAGAACCGTCCAGCTGAGCTGTTCTGAGTTGTCAGAGGACTGTTAAATCTTCCTCAGAGCGAGATTCTTGACAGCTCGGCAGATCGCTGTGAAGCATTTACTCGGTTCTTTGCGGGAAAAGTTGCACTGATCCGTTCCGACTTCGACGTCACGTTAACAGCAGTCTCTGAAGATGTAACACGAACATCTGCTTGTCCTGTTTTAATGGATTCATTTCAATTGGTTCAGCTCGAGGATGTGGACAAGATCCTTGGAGAGGCAAGGCCTACCACATGTATCCTAGACCCCTGCCCAACCTGGCTGATAAAAGAAGCCAGAGGGGGTTTGGCAGAGTGGATTAAGGTGGTGGTTAATGCCTCCTTACAGGAGGGCAAGATTCCAGTCAGCCTAAAACAGGCTGTTGAAAAAACCATCACTGGACCCCACTCAATTAGTCAATTTTTGGCCAGTTTCCAATCTTCCCTACTTGGGCAAAGTCATGGAACATGTGGTGGCCTCGCAACTCCAGGAGTTCTTGGTAGACACTGATTATCTAGATCTGGCACAGTCTGGTCTTATGCCGAGACATGGCATTGAAAGAGCTTTGGTCGCTTTAGTAGATAATCTACGCCGGGAGCTAGACAGGGGGAATGTGTCCCTGTTGGTTCTGCTGGACCTCTCAGCGGCCTTCGATACTGTTGACCATGGTATCCTTCTGGGACGCCTCACAGAAATGGAACTTGGAGAAACTGCTCTGCAGTGGCTCCAGTCCTTCCTGGAGGGTCGGTCTCAGAAGGTGTTACTGGGTGACATCTGTTCGACTCCACAACCATTGTCTTGTGGAGTCCCTCAGGGTTCAGTACTGTCCCCAATGTTATTTAATATCTACATGAAGCCGCTGGGGGAGATCATCCGGAGTTTTGGAGTAAGATGTTATCTTTATGCAGATGATGTCCAAAATCTGTCACTCCATCCCACCTGTTACTAAGGAAGCTGTTCAGACCTTGAACCTGTGTCAGACTGGATGAGGGCTAACAAATTGAAATTGAATCCAGACAAGACAGAGGTCCTCCTGGTCAGTCGAAAGGCTGAACAGGGCATAGAGTTACAGCCTGTATTGGATGGGGTTACACTCCCCCTGAAGACGCAGGTTCACAGCATGGGAGTGATCCAGGTTTCGGCGGTGGCTAGGGTAGCTTTCGCAGTTAAAACTCGTGCACCAGCTGCGCCCGTACCTTGGGAAGTCTGATCTGGCCATGGTGGTCCATGCTCTGGTTACATCCCGAATAGATTACTGCAATGCGCTCTACGTGGGGCTGCCTTTGAAGATGGTTTGCAAACTTCAGCTAGTCCAACAGGCGGCAGCCAGATTACTAACAGGGGCGACATACAGGAAGCATACCACCCCCCTGCTATGCCAGCTCCATCTCCAAGCCCAATTCAAAGTGCTGGTTTTGACCTATAAAGCTCTATACAGTCTGGCCCAGCTTATTTGTCTGAACGCATCAACCCCTACGTCCCAGCTCGTAATCTAAGATCATCTGGAGAGGCTCTGCTGTCGCTCCCGTCAGCAGCACAAATGTGTCTGGCTGGGACGAGAGACAGGGCCTTCTCGGCTGTGGAACACACTCCCAAATAAGGTAAGATCCGCTCCCTCCCTCCTGGCTTTTAGAAAAAAAATAGAATCATGGTTCTGGGACCAGGCCTTCGGACAGTAGATGTATGTAGCATTTTAGAGGTACATTGACTGAAACGGCCATTTGACTGACGAGACTGTTTTAATGCTTGTTGTGTATTGTTTTAATTATGATTTATGTTTGATTGTGGTTTTACTATTGTAATTGTTTGTATTGACATCATATCAGTGCCCAATATAAGGCATTGAATTTTGCCATTATTTATGTGTAAACCGCTTTGAGTCCCCCCAGGGGTGAGAAAGGCAGTATATAAATACTGTAAATAAGTAAAAGAAATATACAAATAACATTACTCCTCAAATTACTCCCACTTCTCTTGCCCATGAATCAGGGATCAGAGGGAAGAGGAAAGGTTCTACTTTCCTGGGCCACTTAACCAAGAATCATATAGATCAGTGGTTCTCAACCTGTGGGTCCCCAGATGTTTTGGCTTTCAACTCCTAGAAATCCTAACAACTGGTAAACTGGCTGGGGTTTCTGGGAGTTGTATTATTTTTATTATTATTAAACTTTATTTGTACCCCGCTAGCATGTCCCGAAGGATTCGATGCGGCTTACACAGGCCGAGGCCTCAACACACAACATAGCAATACAAACTAGGCAAATCAAACAATTAAAAACAGAATAAAGCAAATAAACAACAGGCAAAAGCAATACACTAAAACACAATAGGAACTGGGCCAGGCCAGAGTAATGGGTACAAGAATTAAAAGTGCTGATGTGACAGGAGGTGTATATGAGGCTTCAAGGGCAAGTGCGATGTGCAGCAGTCATTGGTTTTGATAAGGTGCTTATGGGACTTGGTAGTGGAGATTTCCTCATCTGTAGGCCAAAACACCTGGGGACCCACAGGTTTAGAACTACTGATATGGGTGGAGCTTTGATCCACATTCAGATGCAACCAGCCTGGTTTGATTCCCATCCATATGGTCAGTTTGAAAATTCCTATTCAGGTCAGTGTCAGAAATATGCTCTTCCATTTTATTTCACTTATGAATGAATTATGTCCCATCATGGGCTGCTGTTATGCTACTGATTACTTGGTCACAGGAAACAGTTAATTATAAATAACTGGATCTCACCCTAAATGTGATTTAGTAACTCCTGTACACACCTCTGATTCAGATTTCATTTTGGAACATGGCTGCTTCAAAATTTTGTTTTATTAAAACAAAATACAATTTAAAACTATTCACAGCAGGAGGTCATGATTTCAGCTGTCTGCAATATTGCTACATCTGGACATTTCAAGCAGTCTTATTATAGCTTAGCCAAATTCATTGTTAATAGGAAACATTTTCTGTTTCATTTATTTGGGATTTACTTGTGTCTTGTAGAGATATCCAGCAGACAAAGCGTATTTCATTGCAAAAGAAATTCTTGCTACTGAACGGACTTATTTGAAGGACCTAGAAGTACTAACTGTAGTAAGTAATTTAAAGCTACTGTGGCCCATTTTTCTCCCCAAACAGTTGTCTTAATCATTTCACAAGTCTTTGTCTTAATGTTTTCATATAACCTACTCTGTTTCACTAGCTAGAAAGAGATCCAAATTCCTTGCATCTTCTTTTTGAGTTTCTCACATCACCTTCCCAGCAGCTTTTGTTTTGTTTTGGTGGTTATCTTTTGGTGAACACTTTCACTCAAAAACTCACAGTATTTGCTACAGCAGATATGGCTATTGCATCACCTCATATCAAAGTTATTTTCTGACTAATTGTAATTTGGCACCTGCAGTTTAATTTGAGAGAAAAACCTATGAATATTGCATACCTACCAAATATATCAATAATATGAGGCTCTCTCAAGATCACCTTGCAGAAATGCTGCATGAGCCATCTTCTTAATCCTAAACGGTTCCTTTTCTAAGTAAACATGTCTTTTGGAACTCAGCTTTGTCAATAATCCAAACATTAGCTGTTTTAGATGTGGATGTTTTTACATTAGGAGTCTCATATCAGGAACATTGTATGTCTTAGAGTGGAATGACCTACACTTCTGTGTGTTTGCCTCTAATGAAGGATTTTAACTGGGAAAACAATGTTCATGGAGCTGAATGAATTCTTTATCTTTCTAGCACCACAGTCCTATTCCAAATTATAGTCCCTAGTTCTTGCTTTAAAAATTGTAGCATACTCTTGAAACCCTGTAGAGTTGTGTGCAGAATTTATTTCTACTGTTTCTTTCATTTCTTCAGGAGAATGAAACAGGAAGCCCCCTCCCCACACAAAAATCAGCTCAACACGAAAGCAAGCTGGAGCCAATCCTGGCTCCAAGACTGCTTTTGTCCGCAGCTGAGCTGCTTCCAGAACTTGCCTCCTGGCCTTGGAAAGAGTGTGTGTGTGTGGCATGCAGGTCCAGAAAGCATGTGCGCTTGCCAGTACCTGCAGCTGAGTGCGTCTTACTCTAGAGTAAGAGGTGCTCAGCTGCAAGTACTGGCAGGCATGCGTGTTTTCTGTGCCTGCATGTCATACCACACACTCTCTCTTTCCAAGGAGAGTTTGTGTGTGGCATGGCATGCAGGCCCAGAAAGCACGCACACCTGCAGTTGAGCACCTCTTACTGTAGAGTAAGAGGCTCCCGACTGCAGGCACTGGCAGGCGCATGCCTTTTCTGGGCCTGCATGTCACGTCACACATGTACTCTCTTTCCAAGGAGAGTGCATGTGTGGCATGGCATGCAGGCAGGCCCAGAAAGTGTGCGTGCCTGACAGTGCCTGCAGCTGAGCACCTCCTCTAGAGCAGAAACAACAGGTAAGAAGCCTCCTTAGAGCACATGGCAGGAAAGAAAACAGATCTTTTGGGGGCCCAAACCAAAAACAGATATTTGCCATCCCAATTTTAGAAGGCACCCAATAAACAACAAAAGACAGGACACGAAATGGGTAAAGGTTTACCCTGAATGCACAACCCTAAAACCCTGTACCTAGATCTCTTATATAGCATCAAGGCTGGATGGACAGGACAACTTATTTCTTAGTTAGATCCTCATGATCTTGGTTTAATAAGACAAGATAGGCACATGTTTCACCAACCAAATGCAGCAGCGTCACTCCTCCATTTATTCAAAGATTTACAGCAAAACATAGCTCCCTTACAATGCCAAACAAAAACCATAATTAATGGTTTCCAAACAAGCTAATGTTCCGAAACCAGTTTGAACAGTGACTTCATCAGGTTTGTCAGCCATTGATCAGAATTTTCAAGTGTTTAAGAATTTGCATGAAGAACAAATTGACTGAGTGTATTATTTCAGTATTCATAGTGATAGAACTTGGTTGAATGTCTCGCTCTTTTTCCTGTCTGTAACTTGGAAATAGTAATCATTTTCTCATAGAAACATTTTAAGGGTCAGAGATGCATGTTATTGCATTTTCTTAGCCTTTGGGAAAATATTATTATAAATGGAAATTTTCAAGTTGGCATAATTGTGAACAATCTTTTATGCATTTTGTCTAGTGAATGCATCTGGTGACAAAGGATTTGCTTGCATTTTCAGTTTTTCCAAAATTGACTTCTATGACTTTTCTGTGTTTTTTGATCATTTTAATGTTGCTTGTTGCAGAAAAACAAAGCCTTCTTTCTCATTTATATTATTACTTGTTTTTCATCTGCAGTGGTTCCGCAGTGCAGTTGTTAAGGAGAAAGCCATGCCAGATGGGCTTATGTCCTTGTTCTTCTCTAATATAGACCCTATCTATGAGTTTCACAGCGGTTTTCTGAAAGAACTTGAGCAGCGTCTAGTACTTTGGTGAGCTTTAACAGCATCAAGAAAATTTGATTGATGGAATTCTATTGACATCTGATGAAACTTCTTATCTTTTAAACAGCGTAATTTAAATTTGCATTTTATTTGCTAAATACTTGGACAGAAAACTTGTCTGTCAAAAGAAAGCAAGGAATGTGCTAGTCTTAATTTATCTGGGAAGAGAGCTTCAGAGTCTGGGGACACCTGAGAAGGCCCTTTCCCGTGTTGCCACCAGATGTTCCTGTAAGAGAGGTGGGACAGATTAAAGGGCCTCCCCTGCAGATCTCGAAGAATGGGCTGCCTCATAAGAGAAAATATGGTCCTCCAAATGCCTTGTACCTGAGCCATATTGGGCTTTGTAGGTCAAAAACAGCTCTTTGAATTGTGCCTCAAAATGGGCCACCCACTACAGCAGTTGCAACTAGGGAATTGTGTGTTTCCTGTAGCCAGTCTCAGCTAGTGATCTGGATGAAACTCTTTGGACCAGTTAGAGTTTTTGAACACTGTTACAGCCTTTCATTATAATAATCCAACTGGGATATTACAAAGGTATGTGTCTCTGTGGCCAGGTCTGATATCTGAAGAAATGGGCACAGCTGGAGCACAAAGTTTAACTGTTCAAAGGCACTCCCAGATGATGCTGAAACTTGAGTCTACAGGTTCTGAACTAATTCTAGGAGTACAACCAAAGCCCCTTCTACACTGACGTATAAATCCAGATTATCTGCTTTGAACTGGATTATATGGCAGTGTATACTCGTATAATCCAGTTCAAAGCAGGTAGTGTGGATTATCTGCTTTGATAATCTGGATTATATGGCAGTGTAAAGGGGGCCCAAGATGCAAACCTGAATTTTCAGGATTATTATTATTTATTATTATTATTATTATTATTATTAAACTTTATTTGTACCCCGCTAGCATTTCCCGAAGGACTCGATGTGGCTTACAAAGGCCAAGGCCTCAATACACAACATAACAATACACCTAAAGCAAATTAAAAACAATTAAAGCAATATTAAAACAACAAAACAACAAGCAATAAACAATAATCAAAAACACAATAAAACTGGGCCGGGCCAGAGTAAAGGGTACAGGATTAAAAGTGCTGATGTGACAGGTGATATGTAAGGATTATAGGGTAAGTGCAGTGTGCAGTGTACGGCAATCTTAATTCTAATAAAGTGCTTATGGGACTTGGTATTGGAGATTTCCTATTCGGGGAAGGCACATTGGAAAAGCCAGGTCTTCAAGTTCTTTCTGAAGACTGCCAATATAGGGGCCTGTCTAAGATCTTTGGGGAGGGTGTTCCAGAGTCGGGGGGCCACCACGGAAAAGGCCCTGTCTCGTGTCCCCACCAAACACGCTTGCGACGCAGGCGGGATCACGAGCAGGGCCTCTCCAGATGAACAAAGTGAACGCGTGGGTTCGTAGACGGAGATGCGGTCACGCAGGTAGGCTGGTCCCAAACCATTTAGGGCTTTGTAGATAAGCACCTGCACCTTAAATTGGGCTCGGCAGATAAACAGCAGCCTGTGGAGCTCCTTGAACAGGAGGGTTGACCTCTCTCTGTAAGGAGCGCCAGTTAACATCCTGGCCACTGCTCGTTGGACCAGTTGGAATTTCTGAGCCGTTTTCAAGGGCAGCCCCACGTAGAACGCATTACAGTAATCCAACCTAGAGGTGACCAAGGCATGGACCACCCTGGCCAGATCAACCTTCGCGAGGTACGGTCGCAGTTGGCGCATGAGTCTTAATTGTGCGAAAGCCCTCCCAGACACCACCAACACCTGAGCCTCAAGCGTGAACGATGAGTCCAGGAGGACTCCCAAACTGCGGACCTGTGGTTTTAGGGGGAGTGTAACCCCGTCCAACACAGGTTGCCACCCTATACCCCGGTCAGGTTTACGATCGACCAGGAGGACCTCTGTCTTGTCGGGATTGATCTTCAGCTTGTTCCTCCTCATCCAGATAGACACAGTGGCCAGGCACTCGTCCAGCACCTGAGAGGCCTCCTTGGAATTTGGTGGAAATGAGTAGTAGAGTTGGGGGGGGGGATAACCTCATCTATCACAAAGTGAATCCCTACTTCCTGCCATTTGATTGAAAAGACTAAATCCCTATTTTGTGATCTGTTTTTCTAGACACATGCATTAATATGCTTGATTATAGTAAGATAAGATTTTACTTTTTAAAATTACAGTTCTGATTTATGTTTAGGTAACTTTTGCTTCCTAAAAAAAAAACCACCAGATTTTGGAGGAGGACTATTGCTGCAGAATAATTTTAGGAGCCAGTTTTCTGTAGAGCGTAATTTCTCAGTCTCTCAATTTTAGGGAGGGACGTTCCAGTGCTTCCACAAAAGGAGATTATCAAAGGATTGGTGATGTCATGCTGAAAAACATGCATACACTAAAGGTATGGAAATATAAAACTCTCATGTTCTGGTCTATATTTCTCTTTAGGAATGATACCAGATGACAAAATTGTCAAAAGACTGTTCCATCTTCTAGTGTGTCCAGAGCAATATCATTAATCTTCACAATCTAATTTAGGTGCCAGTCAATATTCATCAATGTATCTCTTGAATTCTCAAGCTAAAAAAATCTGCGATCTTTGCCATACACGAGTAATACATATCTGCATAGCTACAGGTTCACTTTAAAAAATAAACAAAAGCAAAGAAGAACTAGAATCGTAGAGTTGGAAGAGACCTCATGGGCCATCCTGTCCAACCCCCTGCCAAGAAGCAGGAAAATCGCATTCAAAACACCCCCAACAGATGGCCATCCACCTTCTGTTTAAAAGCCTCCAAAGAAGAAACCTCCACCACACTCCGGGGCAGAGAGTTCCACTGCTGAACAGCTCTCACAGTCAGGAAGTTCTTCCTCATGTTCAGATGGAATCTCCTTTCTTGTAGTTTGAAGCCACCGAGAGGTTTCAGTGCAGCAGAAAACAAACTTCCTCTCACATATTTATACATGGCTATCATGTCTCCTCTGGGCCTTCTCTTCTTCAGGCTAAACATACCTATCTCTTTAAACTGCTCCTCATAGGGCATGTTCTCCAGACCCTTGATCATTTTAGTCACCCTCCTCTGGACACATTCCAGCTTGTCAGCATCTCCCTTCAATTGTGGTGCCCAGAATTAGACACAGTGTTCCAGATGTGGTCTGACCAAGGGAGAATAGGACATTATAATATCTAATTGGAGAATTGTCTATAAAAATATTCAACAATGTGTGTAAACATTTTTATATCTCCACTTATGAATTTATCTTATCTCATAGGAGCTTACCAGCTACCTGCAGAAGCATGATGAAGTCTTGACAGAATTAGAGAAAGCAACTAAGCGTATTAAGAAACTGGAAATGGTTTATAAAGAGTTCGAACTCCAGAAAGTTTGTTATTTGCCACTCAACACTTTCCTTCTCAAACCCATCCAGAGGTTAATGCACTATAAACTAATCCTGGGGAGACTTTGCAAACACTACACGCCAGATCACCGGGACTATGCAGACTGCCGGAGTAAGTGGTGAAAAAAGTAATTAGTCGCAAAACCTTTAGCTGATTTTTAAAAATCTTTTATCTTCTGTTGACAACACATGAGCTGTCTTGGTGGGAATTATATTCTTTATTAAACTAATTTATAAGGTTTCGTTTTCTTTGACCTCTGAGTTTTCAGAAGAAACCAAAACAAATGAAAAGTTTCATTTTACGAAGTTGTCAGGGTTTGTCTCATCATTTCAGAATTAAGTCTTTATATCTACATTTTCAGCTTTAAAACTGCTTTTGCTAACATCCTTTTATTTGGTGTTTGCATAGTGGGACATTTTATTTCATGGCTGATTCACACATTCATGAACTTCTCTCAACAGGTCAATACTTTAAATGAGCAGCTTCTTTGGAAAGTATTGACTTTGGAATTTCATCTTTGATGGCAGTTGTCATGATTAAGTTAGGAACAAATGTGAATTGGTCTTGTGTGTCTTTTTATCATATACTGTATATGCATTTAACAGACAAACCAACAAGAGTGATATTAATACATAATAATAATAATAATAATAATAATAATAATAATAATAATAAATCTTTATTTATACCCCACCACCATCACCCCATAGGGACTCAGGGCAGCTCATAGAAGTACTCCAGATGCTGAATAAGCAGCAATACATAAGTATACACACAGTGACATAAATAGAAAAATGACAGCACACATAAAATCTCAACTGATAAGATTGTAAGAATTGTAAAAATTACTATAAAATTCCCTGAAATGCAGTAGAACCTGCAAATAATGCTGGCTATCTGCAGTAACAAATCAAAAGTGCAGAGTTACACAATCATCGAGCTGACCAAAGAATACACAGAGTCAAAGGCTTGTCTGAAAAGACATGTTGTCTGAAGAGTGGGAGTTAATCTAATATCTTTAGGGAGGGTATTCCAGAGCCGGTGCGCCACTACTGAGAAGCCCCTCTCTCTCTTGTTCCCACCAACTGTACCTGAGACAGTGGTGTGACCAAGAGAAGGGCCTCCCCAGCAGATATCAATGCCCACATCGGTTCACAGGAGATGCAGTCTTGAAGATAGGTTGGACCTGAAGCATATAGGGCTTTATATTGCCGTTTAGTTGTAGTCAATGTATGGAGTTCACAGGCAGTTGCAAACATTGAAAAAATGTAAATACTTTATTCCTATGTGGTTAGAGTGTTGTAATGCATCGTAGCAATAGAGATCTGGGATCATGCTTATATTGTGCTTTTATTACATTTGTGTGTATATTTTGCAAATGTAATAAAAAAATCAAAACAGAATGCCAGAGCTACAAATGTTGCATTTCTTCCTCCTGCATTCAGCATACACTCCTGTTTACAGGAAAGCATATCTTATCTCTGTCTCTCCCTTTTCGTACCTGCAAAATAGACATGGAATCTTCTACCTTCTAGGATTGTTTTGTGAACACAATAAGTTTATGGAAACAAGTATGGCAATTAAAAATAACAGGATTGCCAGTAATCCCAGTTATAATTTTTAAGGGTTTTTCTAGCTCTGGAAGTTACAATTTATGCTGGTACTAAAACAATAAACACAAAAGAGTAGGAGGGGTAAAGGTAGGAAATCAATGCAGAACATAAGCTTTTCTATGTGGAAAAAATGGCCAGCCTCAGGATCTCTATAACAGCTGTTCTGTTCTGCAGTTACCTTCCATCATCCTCTAAAAATGCAGCACAACAATGCTTTAAACACAAGGTGCAAAAATGTTAATGCAAACGTGATTTTTCAGAATTCATTTGTGCATTGCTGTGGCACAAAATAGAAACAACTCATGAGGGCATGGACAAGTTTGTTACATTAGACCAGGCATGGGCAAACCTCAGCCCTCCAGGTGTTTTGGACTTCAACTCCCACAATTCCTAACAGCTTACCAGATGTTAGGAATTGTGGGAGTTGAAGTCCAAAACAGCTGGAGGGCCGGCATTTGCCCATGTCTGTGTTAGACTAAAGGAAATGATATATTTGTTCAGCCAGGCCAGACATCAACACAATTAGCATTCACATTTCCCTTTATAGGAAAAAAAATTGATGCATTGCTTTATGTTAGAGAGCAAGCCAAATAAGGCTACCGAATATTGTGCTCACTGAAATTTACTATAAAGTGTTTGCTGAATGCAGAAGTGTGCATTTTCATTCAATTTGGTTCTTAAGCGAGAATTAGTGAAATACGGCCCATCCAGTAATTGCTGTCTGCATGTGATGTGAATTAACAGCAGTAGGTCTTAAAAAATATTCCACCATAAATATTCCACTAAGAGCTTGTGAGCACAAATGAATTGGAGATTGAAACATTCAGCCCAGTATACCTAGAGTTGTTTCAGGTGTTCCTTAGAGCTTAATAACCCCTTGGGATTTTTTTTTCATTTTCAAAATAAAATCCCCCCTGAAATGTGTTGCCGTTCCAAAACTGGATCATCTTGGGATTGGGAATTGTTATATGAGAAGTAAAAGCCAAAGTGCACTAAACTAGTTGTGTGTAGTTTGTTTGTTTTGGCTCTACAGTTCCTGCTACATTTTTTGTCTTTTGTTAGTTCTTATTTTCTTCAAGTGCCTCTTTCTTTTCTCTCATAGTTTCATCAATAATAATACGCCTCTCATTCAGAGAAATGTGTAGCGACAACCTTTTCAGTGCTTCTCTTGTTGCAAATCCATGGAAACTGCATATGCAGTGTTTTATTCTCTAATCTAGTTCTATAGGTGTTTTTAAAGCCAACAGGGATAGTATGCTATGCTCAGAGGTTTCATGATCATGCCTTGTTTGACAGAGGAGAGTGGCATAGAAGCCACACTATCACAGCCTCCGAAGTCTTTATGACAAATGTGAAGACTATTGTCAGTAACCATCCAACTGCTAAATTGAAAAGTCTGACTTACTTTTACTGACATTTGTTTATATCACCTGAGCACAATTCCATATAATATATTATATTTAAACAAGGCTTATGTGGGTGTAAAGTAATCTACCCTCAAATGCACATTTTAAGTGAAATGTTAGTTAACCTAGAAATACATTTTGGATATGCAAGTGATAACTACTGAGTAAATATATCATGTCATGTATAAGTCTAAAAGTTTTCTTCAAAAAAATGCCTCAAAACCTGTGTCACCTTATTGCAGAGATCACTGTAAATACCGTAGTTTAACTTTCATTTTAAAAAGGGAAGAATTCCTTTCTCTGAGCATAATAGGAAAAGGTAAGAACTTCATTTCTACTGAGAGAACTCAAAAGAAACACCATCACCCCTCTATTTTCTCCACAGTAGTTCCCTCTTCTGGACTTTTTGAATGCCATAATAGCAGGAAAATAGCAGTGGGGGCCTTAAGCATCTAACCCCCTGAGAGAATGCTATCCCTTTCCATGGGTCCCATTAAAATCCATAATTTGGCCCCAAAACCTACCCTTGACTAATACATGAGGTCAACTTATACACAAGTGTATATGATAATTTTCTCAGCGAATATTTCATATCTTTAATAAGTAGATGTGACCTTAATTCAGGATAATATCTTACTTCTTTTTACATTTGTACAATATTTTAGGTTTGGTCAGTGCTGCTGTGATCTGTTGAGTTTGTGTGTTTTATGTTTTATCATCCTCTTCTGCAGGTGCACTGAAGGAAATCACAGAAATAACATCACGGCTTCAAAACAGCCTGATCCGCTTAGAAAATTTCCAGAAGCTGACAGAGTTACAGCATGACCTCCTTGGCATTGACAATCTTGTAGCAGCTGGCAGAGTAAGAAGTTCTTTTTCAGTTTAGCTTTAAGCTTTGAACAAAGTTACTGGACTTTACTATTATTATTGATAGCTTTAGGAATTTCGTTGCTGTACTTCAGAGCTAACAAAAAACTACCCAGTGCTCTTGCCAAACATGCATTTCATCATTGAAACATGTGTATCATGTTTTGCCAGCATGGATCTAGAAACCTACCATGAAATCTGGTTGTTTGAAGTGCCATTATTTTATTGTTTTACTGTTTCAATCATGCCAGTCCACACAGGTGACAAGAATCAGCACTCTGTGGTCTTTCTGCATAGATGGAATCGTAGTAACTGTTCCAATACAAGACTGTAAATAAATGTGACCTACACCTGTGTCACATCAATAAAGAAAATATTAGTTACATAATCTATAATGAGTTTAATTCTTGGTTGATGAAGTCCTGCAATATTAAATAGTCATACTCAGTTGGCATACGGCCTTTTCTAACTTATCATGACGGAACTGTTTCAGGCCAGGATCTTTTTTGTTATTTGCAATGGTATAAGTGTTGTAGAAGAAGACATCCTGTATATCTTTGTGCAGTCAGCTTGGATATGCAGTGGCAACCAGACACAGCTGGGCACATTGTCCTCAGCCACTCATTGACTGCATAAATGCATCATCCAGGTACTGTTTTACCCCAAGGGGGAAGGAGTACCCTGGAGGGCTACAGTAGTGCTTCCTTCCACATATGCACAACAATGTTTGGATGGTCTCAGGCCTGTGACAACAGCCAGCTAGTGGTTGGGGAAGAACTGTCCCCTGGATCTGTCTAAATCAGTGGTTCTTAACCTGTGGTCTGTGGACCACCAGTGGTCCCCAAGAACGAAAATATGGTCCACGGCCTCACCATTACTACACAGCTGCCTCGAAATCATGCAGCAATGAGAGTGACTGGTCTCACAAAACCCTTTATAGTGCCAAGGCAACGTGGATATCAGGAGGGGAGAGGCTGACTACCCACAAAAGCTTACTACTACCACATCAGCTCTAGATTATTGAATATGGTTTTCTGTGGATGAGCAGAGGGTGACTACTGGATGGCATATGTTCTGTATCAGAAAGTAGAGCTGATGTGGTCTATCCAAAGTAATTTTCTGAATCAGCACCCCAAATAACTAAATCAAATCTAAAGTTTATCAAAAACAGATTTGTAGCCCTTTCGGTACTAAAGCTGGAGAGTGGTCCCTTTATTTGTACATTGCTTTTCTTTCCCTGCTTCAAAATCCATGGTCAAAGTGGTCCCTGGTCAAGTGGTTCCTTGCCAAAAAAAGGGGGGGGGGGTTGGGAACCACTGGTCTAAATAGTGGCCTTCACTTGAGGAAATAGGTGCTGCTGTTACCCTCCAGACCAGGTCTGCACAATCAGTGACCCTCCAGGTGTTTGGCTTCCAACTCCCAAAAGTCCTAGTCAGCTTGTCCAGTGGTCAGGAATTCTTGGAACTGAAGCTCAAAACATCTAAAGGTTGTACAGGCCTGCTCCAGACTAATGGTGAAGGCAATGTGGCTGAAATTTGTCAAATAGTATCTTAGCCACAATACTAAGACTTGGAGATGGAAACAGCAGGAAACTGCTCTTGTTTCTTGGAGACTGAAGAACCATTAAATCTGACTTTCCTTGAAAGCTACCTTGAAAAAAGCATGATAGAAACAAACAAGGAAACACTGAGAAAATAAAATACTTTTTATCATTTTTGCACAGGAATTTATCCGGGAAGGCTGCTTATACAAGTTAACAAAAAAGGGTTTACAGCAAAGGATGTTCTTTCTGGTGAGTTTACTCTTTCCTCAAGATTGTTATTCATTATGTTGCTACCTTCTTGCAAGTATTTTTGAAAATCAGATTCCTGTACATTCTCTCTTACACTGTGTTTATGAGGACGGGGTTGTTTATGTGAACTTCCTGTTGGTTTATAGCAGAGATATCCTTTTTACTAGACTGTGACCTGTTTTCTGATGTGGACAATTAAATGAATGGGTGTCCAAGCCAAGACTGAATATGCTCTAAGGGGGTTGGGAGAGGCAGAATGCCACTTCCTCATTGTAATGTGTGCGTAAGAACTTTGTGCATTAGTTTTTCATCAATTTTCGGTGTCACTTTGTTGAAGGACTTCTGGGAAAACCATATTTGAGGCCTTGATAAAGGGATTATTGCTAGTTATTTTAGTCGCTGTTATGAACCATTAAGTGCAAGTCTTTTTTCTTCTTGTACAGAAAGGCTTTTAATGACTGTATATGAATTAAATATTAGATTAAAACCATGTTTTTAATCTAGTAAAATCGTAATGGTTTGCAAAATCCTGGATTTTCTTTGAAAAGTGAGGTTGATTTTTAAAAGTTGTATTAATGCTGAGCTACAGTAAAGAAATAATATAGATAGCTTATGGGCAACTAAGCAAATTTTATTTTGTGGTGGTGGTACAGATTCATTTTGCCACTGAATGTTATAGAAAATTGATGTAAGCATGGGTTTTGAAGTAAGCAGGGAAAGAAAAGCAATGTAAAAATAAAGTGATAATGATGGGAAAGGTTTGTGCAGATATCTAGAGCTGTAGTTCCCAAACTTTAGGTTTCCAAATGTTTTAAGCTCCAGCTCCAGAATTCCTGACTGTTGGCTGTGTCAGCTAGTGCTTCTGGAAGCTTAAATCAGAAATGCTTGTAGGACCAGAATTTGGGAATCACTGATGTAAAGGGTGTTGTTAACCTAAATTTTTACAGTATTTCTGTCCCTCAGTTTTCAGATATGTTGTTATACACAAGCAAAGGGGTCACAGGAACCAATCAGTTCAAAATTCATGGCCATCTTCCTCTTCATGGGATGCTGGTAAGTGGTTTTCTGTAAGTAACCAGGTGTTAACATAATAAACTACACATCATCTTGATATGAACTTTTATTTCCATTGAACTGTAAAGTGACTGTTGCTGGTGGCTTTGAAGTTTTTCTTTGGGTGCTTATATGCATAACTACATGTGTTAAAGATAGCTGGAAAAGCAAGCACTCTTGGTTTTCTGGCCTTCAAGTGTTTGACAACAAGACTGAACATGTTGTTTCACTTATCCAAGGTCAGCTGGATGTGATAATGATGTTGCTTCCACCCAAAACACTGCATGTTCTCTCACTCTTTAATGAAATTTTTGTGTATGTTTTTAATTTTCAGCTGATAGTGCTGGATCCTCCGGTGAGTAATAAGCCCAGTGAGCATATTGGTTAGCCTATTTACCACCTTTTGAAGTGGCAACGTAATTGTAGCTGATAGTTTTTCCCACTAGAGGCTAATTAGATGCGTCTATGCTTTCAAAAGTAGCTGATGTGCAGATTTGTCACTGTTGTCAGGTTGTTACTTTCCACTCGCAATTATAGATGTATGTACTATTATGCTCTGCATGTTGAGACAAGTTTCTTCTGTTCTAGGTGGAAGAGAGCGAAAATGAATGGTCCGTTCCTCATTGCTTCACAATCTATTCTGCTCAGAAGACTATAGTGGTAGCAGCAAGGTAAACTTTTTCTCAACCCTTAATGATGAAAAAGTGTGGGTGAAGAAGCCTTGTCACACAAGCCTCAACCCATTTCTGCTCCAGGTTAAGTAGAAGAAGAGATGGAGATGATGTACCTCTAAGTCTGTACCCATTTGCTTTCTGTTTCTTTCTTTGCTTTCACATTTTTATCTATTGTGTGGCTTCCAACCAGGATAGAAGAAAGATAGTAGCAGCTTGCAATCTCATTGTTAAGATACACCAGTGTGTACTGGCATATTGTGTCTTTCATCCTTTGGAAGCTTCAGGTTTCAAAAATAATACAGTAGAGTCTTATTTATCTAACATAAATGGGCCAGCAGAACATTGGATAAGCGAAAATGTTGGATAATAAGGAGCGATTAAGGAAAAGCCTAAGGTAAAGGTAAATGTTTTCCCCTGACATTAAGTCTAGTCGTGTCCAACTCTGGGGGTTGGTGCTCATCTCCATTTCTAAACCAAAGATCCGGCATTGTCCGTAGACGCCTCCAAGGTTACATGGCTGGCATGACTGCTTGGAGCGCTGTTACCTTCCTGCCGGAGCAGTCTCTATTAATCTACTCACATTTGCATGTTTTCGAACTGCTAGGTTGGCAGAAGCTGGAGCTGATAGCGGAAGCTAACGCCGCTCCCCAGAATAGAATCTGCGACCTTTCGGTCAACAAGCTCAGCAGCACAGTGCTTTAACCCACTGCGCCACAGGGGGCTCCAAGGAAAAGCCTAGTAAACGTCAAATAACGTTATGATTTTACAAATTAAGCTCTAAAACATCATGTTTTACAACAAATGAACAGAAAAAGCAGTTCAGTACATGGTATCATTATGTAGTAATTACTGTATTTACGAATTTAGCATCAAAACATTGCAATGTATTGAAACAGCTGTGGATTGGATAATACAAATATTGGATGAGCAAAGGTTGGATAAGCAAGACTCTACTGTACAGGTTTCTGCACTGTTCTGTAGATTTTAAAAATATATTTATATGGAATATAAAATTATTGAGAAAAGCTTTTGTGCTTGCCAGACTGTTGAATTTCCAGACTTTAGGATCTCTGGATATTAATGTGTTAGTTCTCCTTGGAAATAACTTCTCAAAGTACCATGATTTAATCCTTTTCTCAGGGTACCTTGGGAATAATAGTGGAGTGTGATTTTTTTTTTACGGGACTCTAGATATATAAAATAGATATAAAACCAAACATTTACTGATAATAAATCAGCATTTGCAATGCTTGCTAAATAGGCTGATTTTTCTTTTTGTGGAGTACAGCTGAAGCATTTTCCGTAGAGTCCACTGTAAACACTGAATGTTGTTGTTAACAGATATACTGTTGTCAAATTTTCATGATTGCAACATTGAGCTAAGGGGATCTACAGTTGAAGATCTCCCCAGCCAAGATAATTAAAGACCTCACTTAATTATAAATCCATGGATTCATTAAGGTGAAGCCACCACACTAATATAGGGGAATTACAGAAATGCTGGAATTGGTCTGAATGTTGGTCAAGCAGTCTTCCTTTGCTCCATAAATCGCACATAGCTCAGGAAGCATCATGCTTACCCATCAATCCAATTTAATTTTTTTTCAGCACTCGCCTGGAAATGGGGAAGTGGATGGAAGATCTCAACATGGCCATTGAAATGGCAAAGAAAACCACTGACAAATCAGACATGGTTCTGGAAAATTCCCTCTGCAGTCGTTCTAACAGTAAGTGGCACCTGTGAATTGTGACTCTTGGTTAATGTATGCACTCTGCATGTTTCATTCAGAAGGGAAAAAGTTTAGATCATATAACCTATCAGTGTTCTGGCTTCATAAACTTCCATATCTGCTCTGATGCTCCAGATATTTAAGGCTTGGCAAATAAAAAAGCTCAGCTGTTAGAAATAATTTTTTTCAATACGTTATTTTCCTGTTCCACTCTCTGCACTTGAAAAAGAGCCATCCATGTAAACCACTGTTAACAGTCAAATCTATGAAAGTCATTCAGGTTATGTGTTCTCCTGACTGGCTTCTGGTATACAATACAGGCAGTCTCCGGGTTATGGACAAGATAGATTCTGTAGGCTTGTTCTTAAGATGAATTTGTATGCAAGTCGGTACATTTTATAAGTATTACTCCAGCTAATTTTTTAAATTATTTTGGATAGCATAGGGAAATGTTAAGGTTTGTTTTTCTGTGTGTACTCCCATTCAGAAGATTTCACTTTAGTTTTTGTTCCTGTGACAATTGGATTTTGAAAATTTTGGGCCATCGTGGAAACAGGGATTGGTGATAAAGCTTCTTTGGAGGTACCTTTTTCCTATGATAATTCTTGCAGAAGTGAATTTCCCTTCCAGGGGATAGATTTCCTCTCACTTCCTATTGTATCACCCTTGTTCTTAACTATGAATTGTATCTGCATGGATATCCATAACCCATGGACTGCCTGTAGTCGTGTGGTGGTTGTGAAACCTTGTATCCATCGATGTTCCACATTGGGTGGGCAATGGATGCCAGGACCAGAGTAATCTATGCATGTTGTTTCCTCTTTGGAGAGGAAGGATCCATGCCACTGGCTCTGCCCATGTACCACAATCTGTTAAATGTCTGCTCCCTTCTCCTCCCTCAGGATCCTCAGATGAGGTTTCTCTAGAACAGGAGTCCGAAGAGGACATTCATTCTTCTCGTAGCTCCCTGGACAGGCAGAGCCACCACCGAGCCAACACTACCATGCATGTCTGCTGGTATCGCAACACCAGCGTCTCCATGACTGATCACAGTGTGGCCGTCGAGGTACCCAGCAGCAGCAGAGCCCATGCCCCTTCCACACGCCACTCTGTTGTCTGTCTTGGTTGCTGGTTTCTCTGCACTGCACACACTTGTGTGGTTTTCACCCCCATCTCCATCATTGCCTTCACTGATTTCACTGGCTGTATGTGTGTGTGTGAGAGAGAGCAAATGAATGAGTGACTACAAGCTGTGTGAATGTATCATTTGTGTCTTATCTGCATGTTTCCATCATTTTCTCAGCTAGAGGGTGCTTTGAGGAAATTGCATTGAGAAAGAAAAATTCCCAAGATCTCTAAAAGAAATTGCTCAACAAAACACTAGCTGCAGAAGCCTTTTTTTCAGATTCATGTCTATACAGTTGGATAGTCCCACTTGCCTGAAGTTTGCCTATAAAAGGCTTTGGGTAATCTTTTCACATAACAAAAACTCAGAAAAACAATAGATGAGTCGCAGTTAAAGCAATATGACACTCATGGCTGCTGTTTTAACATCAGAAAGCTAATGGAGGGAACTAACATTGGACTATGAAGCCAAACATGTATGTTCTTGTCTGTGACTAATTCCTGTGTAATGACCCCTGCCTTCATTAAAATATTTCATCTTCTCACTTTTCCCCCAAAGCGCTGTGATTCCTTGCACTGCTGATTTTACAACTTAACAAACCATGGACTGTGTGGCATCTACATTTCTTTTTGTCGCTGCTGCTGTTTCTTTTTTCATACCATTTCTTTTAACAAGCCTTTCCAAGTACTTGCCTTTCTTACTCTAATTTCTCTTTTCTTTCTCTTTCTGCACTCTCTTTTCTGCTCAGTCTTCTACTCCCTTGCTGTTTCTCCAGAGCTTCCTCCTCGCTATTTGCTGGGCCAGACTCAACGGCCCAACACAATCACCCACGTTTGCTGGTACCGGAATCAGAGCCTATCCTTGTCTGATTATCTGTGCATGATTCAGGTAAAGCTGCCTCTTCTACTTTCAATATTGATTGGAGGATCTGTGAAAACCAGGGTGAGGAAAACATAGTTGTGGAGATGCTCCTGGACTGTAATCACACCAGACCAGCCACAGGATATGATACCTGGGGGGCTGCACTTCGCCTGCCCTGGGCCACTTACTATTTGAGTCACCTCCATCGCAGTGCTCACTTAAACGTGGATCTAGCCTGCAGAAACAAGGATCCGATATAACAAAATCTATTATAAGAAGAACCCTTTCCCTTAATACATAGTACCATTTTTATCATTTAAATTGGAGATGGGAATTGGGTGTCCATCAGTATGTTGTTGGATGGCAACTCTCAACTGTCTTAATACCGCTTTATATATAGTTAGCCCATTTTTATACCTAATTTAATGCATTGCATTTATCGCATAGATTTGATCATAGCAGATGATGATCATCCCCCTCCCACCCAATGCTCAGGTTTCAGTGTATCAGGCATTCAATATGACATTCTTGTTAAATGGCCTTCAGAGCCTTGCACTCAATTACTTCTTTGACCTGCATTTGTCTTTTGTGCCTTGTTTGTCTTTCTTCCGTCTTGTCTCATTAACCAAATTCAGGCTTTCTGTATTGCTTAATAATTCTTACCATGTTGTGGGAATCAGAGGACACACTGAAATCAAAATGAGGGGGAAGGGTTAACTAGGATGTATATTAAAGCCTGATGTTACCAGAGAAGCAATCTGTTAGCTAATAACTACATCCATAATTGCTCTGCCTTATATTCAGGGAAAAGATGTCAAATGCATGTTGTTACAGAGAAATTGAGCACTCTGCAAAAAAGGAGAGGAAACAGCATATGGCATTGCATTAGAACTCTTCAGAGTCTCTCTATGATCAGATAAAATATAATTCATACTACATTTTATCCTTTGTGTAATACTTCCACAAGTCCAGATATGAAATAGTAATATTCTGTTTCAGCTACACAGATTGGGAAAGGGGGTAACTTGCTTGGATTGGAGGCAAGTTGTCTTAGTCCTTTCTTTTTTAAATGGATGTTAATTTTGCATCCAAAGAAAACTGAGCAGATTGAAATGGACATGGTAGCTTTACTGCCTTTTAAAAATATGTTGAAAGATAGCTCCATTGTGAAATCTTCATAGCAGAGAACAGAAAGCTAAAAAAAGTTAAGAGATTACATTGTTCAAAATGATGCCATTATTTGTAAGGGGAGAGAGCTGGATTATTTTGCTATATCACTAATTCTGTAAGAGGAGTTTATTTGTAATACATCCATGTTCTATATGGTATATAGCAGTGGTTCTCAACCTGTGGGTCCCCAGATGTTTTATCCTTCAACTCCCAGAAATCCTAACAGCTGGTAAACTGGCTGGGATTTCTTGGAGCTATAGGCAAAAACACCTGGGGACCCACAGGTTGAGAACCACGGATATATAGGGATTCGTGGGAGAAAAAAGGGGTATTCATAAAGTATAAAATATTTTACTTAGATGACCTGGTAAATATCACCGCCACCAGAGTTGCAGTTTGTCCATTTATTACACAAACAATCAAATCGTTCAAAATTATTTGAAACAGCACATGTCATGAACTATTTCTCAACTAACTGAGAGTCACACCTTAGAAAGAGCAATCCGTTTTTCAATATGCAGTTCCAATAGATCTTGGTTGAGCTGTTAAGGGGGAAATTATTTCAGCTTCTCACACCATATTTCTCCCTATTCTGTGTAGAACCAGCTGTCAGGATATCTACTGAGGAAATTCAAAAACAGTAACGGATGGCAGAAATTATGGGTGGTTTTCACAAACTTCTGCCTATTCTTCTACAAAACACACCAGGTAAAAACTTTTGAACTGTGGTTAGGCTCACATTAGGATTTACCCTCATCCTGGAAATACATTCTGTCTCTTACTTTAAGTTATACGTGTCTCTTTATACCACCTTTGCAAATGTAATTTTCATTTGGAGTGGGAGTTCTTTCCAGCACCAGATCAACAAAGAACAAATATTGGTCATAGTATGTGCAGTATGCTATCTTTAACAGAGGAGTTAAAACTAATAGTTCAAAGACACTTAATTCAAAGTTCAAAGACCCTGGGATACATTGTACTCATCCATAGAAGGACTAGGACAGTGGTTCTCAACCTTCCTAATGCCACGACACCTTAATACAGTTCCTCATGTTGTGGTGACCCCCAACCACAAAATTATTTTCATTGCTACTTCATAACTGTACTTTTGCTACTCTTATGAATTGTAATGTGAATGTCTGATATACAGGGTGTATTTTCATTCACTGGACCAAATTTTGCACAAATGCCCAATACACCCAAATTTGAATAATGGTGCGGTTTGGGGGGGGGGGGGTTGATTTTGTCAATTGGGAGTTGTAGTTGCTGGGATTTATAATTAAGCTACAATCAAAGAGCATTCTGAACTCCACCAATGATGGAATTGAACCAAACTTGGCACACAGAACTCCCAAGACCAACAGAAAATACTGGAAGGGTTTGGTGAGCATTGATCTTGAGTTTTGGAGTTGTAATTCACTTACATCTAGAGAGCGTTGCGGACACAAAAATTATGAATCTGGACCAAACTTGGCACGAATCCTCAATATGCCCAAATGTGAACACTGGTGGAGTTTGGGGAAAATAGGCCTTGACATTTGGGAGTTGTGGTTGCTCTGATTTATGGTTCAAAAGAGCATTCTGAACCCCACCAACAATAGAATTGGGCCAAACTTCCCACACAAAACCCCCATGACCAGCAGAAAATACTGTTTTCTGATGGTCTTTGGCGACCCCTCTGATACCCCCTTGTGACCCCCACAGGGGTCCCGACTCCCAGGTTGAGAAATGCTGGACCAGGACTTACTCTTTTGTGGGATATCCAATTAAGTATGAATAGTTGGTTGGTTCTTTATGATAGACAGGTGTGTGCTGGTTGAGAATAGATGGCATTTGGTACATTAAAGCAATGTGATGATGTTATATAGTTGTTTTAAATTGATGTACTGATTATTTGTAATTTAGAAACAGTTGTTAAATGGTGATCTAGTCACCGACTAAATGAGGAAATTTGCTGTTCCCAGGATGATTATCCCCTGGCGAGTTTGCCACTCCTTGGCTATGCAGTCAGCATCCCAGTGGAGGCAGATGGCATCCAGAAGGATTATGTCTTCAAGCTGCAGTTTAAGTCTCATGTATATTTCTTCAGGGCTGAAAGCAAGTACACCTTTGAAAGGTAAAGTGTTCCATGGACCTGGTTTGTGAGGGTCATTTTGTTCACTGCAGGACAATCTATTTTTAAAACTCTATAGAATATGAATGAAGTTCTGTTTTTTTCTTGCCACTAGTACATTAATTCATGAGCATAGTGGTTGGTGAACTCAAATGATGTGTCAAGCATGCATGAACTTTATGCAAAAATAGATCATACGGAGATTTTCCATGTTCACAATTTCCAGTGTACAACCAGGTGGATCAGGGATGATTTTGAAGCAGGCATATGGAAAGATGGTGTAGAAACACTCCTCCTCCCCCCCCCCCCCAAGATCTTTACTCATTTTTTAAAAAAGTAGGGAGTACTTTGGGGAGTCATGGAAGGACTGTACTATTTTACCCATTCTTTCTAACTAATTTACCCAATCTAACAAACCTCCTTTATGCTGGGTCTTGTTGAGGATAGAGTCAACTGACATGGCATGCCTTATATCTGAGAAGGATGTGAACTAAGGATCTTCACATGATGATCTGTCATGCAATAAAGATTCTTGGGAAGAATTTGATTGCCCTGCCAGACTTGAAGCGTGTTCATAAATACGCTACTGTGCGAGTTCAATAATAAGCAGCTTGTTTGCCTACTTGTTCCTTCTGGGCTGGGTGAAACAGCAAAACTGCATGATGCCTGCAGAAAACCAGGGAGATTTTAAAATGGGTCCGTGATGGATCAGCTTCATTTATTCTATGACATCTTTCTTGGGGTTATCTGGTTTATACTTTACACCTTTGGTCCTCCAGATGTTTTGGACTGGCTGGGATTTCTGGGAGTTGAAGTCCAAAACATTCAGAGGACTAAAGGTTGGGAACTGTTTTACACTAAGCAGTAGAAGTGAAGGAATATTGCAGTATTCCTAGCTTATTGGATTAGTCCCCACTCTCCAAGGCAGTGCTTCTCAACCTGGGGCCCCAGATGTTTTTGGCCTTCAATTCCCAGAAATCCTAACAGCTGGTAAACTGGCTGGGATTTCTAGGAGTTGTAGGCCAAAAACACCTGGGGACCCAAGTTGAGAAGCACTGCTCCAAGGTTTTCAAACAAATCTGAAAACATGGCTCTTCAAACAGGCTTTGACTTTGTTTAGGAATCTTTAATGATTATTCCCGAGGACTTAGTGATTGTTTCACCGTAGCACTTTATGGGACATATATTAATTATTTATTTTATACCTGCAACATTTTATTGATTTTAACTAGTAGGGTTTTATAATGTTATTTGTTAATGCTATTGTGCTATTTGTTTATGAGCTTGTATTTTGTATGTTTGCACTATTCAGTGCTTTGTGAGCCACCCCGAGTCCCTTTGGGGAGATGGTGGCAGGGTATAAATAAAGTTTTATTTTTATTGCTATTGATAAGAATTGTTCCCATTTTAATCTTCCACTTCCATCATATTAAAAAAAGAATGCTTATTGTATCAAAAAGCTTTAAGTTGAAAGGTTTAATATTTTCACCTAGCTTACACAAATAATAATTGACATGCAGCTCAACCCCTGAGTGTTGTTGTTTTTTCTCATCAGGTGGATGGAAGTGATAAAGAGAGCCACAAGTTCTCCTGGAAGATCTAGTCTCCACATCCCAAAGGATGAAAAAGAAAAGACCACAAACTGAAAGCAGAGCTGGGCCTCTGTTAATTGTTCATTTTCTGTAGCATGGCAGAATTGGGGGCAGGAGCCTGAGCCGGAGAGCAATATCAAGAGAAACCTCCTGTTACTATTGTGGCCAAGTTAGTTGCCTCATGGAAATTGATCTTTTTTGCAGTTACCCAAAGAGAATCTCAAAAACTCAGTTCATGGAAGAGTTATGGTTGATGAATTTTTATATGATGTAGAACTTTAAAACAAATAGCATTTGGCAATATTGTCTGGATGATTGTAAAGTCTGATGGCTTTCAAGTGGCTTCCTAGGTTAATGCTCAACTCTGGCTAAACAATCTTTGTGCAATGTGTTGTCGAAGGCTTTCATGGCCAGAATCTCTGGGTTGCTGTGAGTTTTCCGGGCTGTATGGCCATGTTCCAGAAGCATTCTCCTGACATTTCGCATGCATCTTATGGCAGGCATCCTCGGAGGTTGTGAGGTCTGTTGGAAATTAGGCAAGGGAGGTTTATTTATCTGTGGAATGTCCAGGGTGGGAGAAAAAACACTTGTCTGTTGGAGGCAAGTGTGAATGTTGCAATCAAGGTGAATATTGCTAATCAATGTGATTAATTACAACATTCACATTTGCCTGCAACAGGCAAGAGTTCTTTCTTCCACCTTGGACCTTCCACAGATATATACACCTACCTCCCTTGCCTAGTTTCCAATATACGATACCTCTTAACCTCTGAGGATTCCTGCCGTAGATGTGGGTGAAACATTAGGAGAGAATGTTGTTGGAACATGGCCATACAGCCTGGAAAACTAACAGCAGCCCAATCCTTGTGCAACTTGTTCTGTCAGCCTACCAAGCCAGTCATGCCTTGCATGGTGCCATCAGCATTTGCATTAATATAAAAAGTTGCATTTCCTACTTATTGTAGAATAAAGTCTCCTGAAAGCAGTTACGTAGCAACTTTCGCCCTTCTTATTTTCCCAAAGCAGACAAACACACTGTTCTGCAATTAATATGTCTTGTCTAAACCGGTTTTACACCTCTGCAAGGCACAGATAAATGAAATTTCAAGCCATATCAATCTCTCCTGTGACTTAGGGCAGTGGCACCATGCGTGTTGGCAAACTCTATACTGAGTTTTGCTTAGTAAAGATGTAAAACCTTCCATGGTATGGATCAACTGACAATAAAAAAGACAGCTGCATGAGCCCATAAAAAAGAAATCCGGGCTCTACATTAGGACAATAATTTTATTAGAATGATGTTGCCCTTGGATAGTACCGGAAAGTAGTTTGCTGGTCTGTTGATGGATGGTGAGAAATCAAAGTTTATTTTACATGTTATGTTATAACAACAGCGTGGTGATGGGTAGTGTATTTTAAAGGAAACAGGCTGGGGTGAAAAAGTATTTATATATTTAACATTGCTTTTTGTCATACGGGAAACTAAGGGAGAAATGGGAAACGTTCGTACCTAGTCCCTTCATTATTCTTAAAATTGATATAAAACATTGTGTGAGGCTGAATGAGTCTTCTAGGTAAAACGTTAAGGGTTGGTACCCACACAGACCCTAAAGGGAAGACAGTGTTTTCTGTTCAATATCTTCATTGGTAAGCTGCAAAGTGCTAAAGACTTCTATTATAATGGCCATTCAGTGTAAGTTAAATGTATTTTTTTATTTATTAGTGTCTGTTTTTTGAAATAAAACTATTGTAGAACTTTATGAACGGCTGTCTTGCGATTGTAATAACCTACTGAGACTATTTAATTTCAAAAAAGTGCTCCATTCTCTCAGAAATATCTGCTCACATTCATTTTATTCTGCCTTATTCCTAAGGTAACTCTTCTCTAGCGCACAGTCCTAACAGTTCGTGGCAAATTCTCTTTAGAGCTTAAAGTGTGCCATGAGTGATCTGCAGTTGGATCCAGGTTCATATCCTGAGCAAAATGTCACCATTGGGAAAGGTGTATGTTTATATGAGCCCTGTAGCAGACACCATTGGCCTTTAATCAACGGAACTGAAATCTTGCAATGTATTAGGTCAAACCAAACATTCTGTTCCTGTTCCTTAGAGTAGTGTTTCTTAACCTTCCTAATGCTGTGATCTCTTAATACAGTTCCTCATGTTGTAGTGACCTCCAACCATAACATTATTTTTGTTGCTACTTCATAACTGTAATTTTGCTCCTGTTATGAATTGTAATGCAAGTATCTGATATGCATGATGTATTTTTATTTACTGGGCCAAATTTGGCACAAACACCCAATACGCCAAATTTGAATACTGGTGGGATTGGGGGGGTTGATTTTGTCATTTGGGAGTTGTGGTTGCTGGGATTTATAGTTCACCTATAATCAAAGAGCATTCTAAACTCCAACAATGAGGGAATTAAACCAAACTTGGCACACATAATTCCCATGACCAACAGACAATACTGGAAGGTTGGTGGGCACTGATATGGAGTTTTGGAGTTGGAATTCACCTACATCCAGAGAGCACTGTGGACTCAAACAAGGATAGATCTGGACCACACTTGGCATGAATATTCAATATGCCCAGATGTGAATACTGGTGGAGTTTGGGTAAAATAGACTTTGACATTTGGGAGTTTTAGTTGCTGGGATTTATAGTTCACCTACAATCAAAGACCATTCTGAACTCCAACAATAGAATTGGGCTTCCCACACTGAACCCCTATGCCTTGAAGGTGCAAGCCTCCCTCCAACTTCGCACGCTCTCCCTCACTCACACATGCGCATCACGCTGCCATGCGCTGAGCACACCTGCTCTCCCCTCCCCGCCTGGAGTCTCAGAAACGGCCCTCTCCTTGGCTGAGAGGCTAGCCAATCACAGTGGAGGTGGGCTTTTGGTGGGAGGACTTCCAAAAAGGAAGATGACAGGCAGAGAGATCTTCAGCTTTCTCTGTCCAAGGGGTTCCTAAGACCATGAGAAATATGTTTTCTGATGGTCTTTGGCAAACCCTCTGACACCTCCCTCGCAACCCCCCCTGAGGTCCCGATCCCCAGGTTGAGAAATGCTGCCTTAGAGGAATCTTTTCTTTCTTTGGTGTTTCTAGTATTCATGCATAAATAAGCACAGTGTCATACTTTTACTTAACAAGTTAATTTTATTGGAAGTGGCAGATCCCTTTCAATTGCTCATTTTGAAATTAAGCCTTTGTTGCTCCATTTGTTGGAGATCCTTTTGAGAAAGTTCTGGTGATACTGTATAATGTCAGGTACCTTTTATGAATTGCACAAGGCAGCAACTTCTTGCTTTCCTTTTTTTTTTTTTTTACCAAATCTCCATCTATTCCTGGAGATAATGGTAAAGGAAAATGAGTCTTCACCTTCTGTTTGTGTTGCTCTCTCCAGTTATCCATTAGCTAGACTGGGTAGAAACAGCTAAAATTCTTAAAGTTACTATTCCAGCATACTATATAAATACCACAAATACAATCTTTGCCATTAATGTTCCCCTTACTATAAATGGAAGATATGCCCAAACGTCTTCCTTTCACCCATAATTAAATAGCCATATGTTTTTCTCAGAGCCAATTCTCAAAATGGTTGTTAGTCATTACATGACTACACTTTTAGGAACTGACACTTCAAAATGGCCACCTTCTATATGTGTGACTGCTCTGGTTCTACTATATTACTGCTGGAGAGGAAAAACTAGTTGGACCCTGATATCCTCACAATACCAATTCTGAGCCAGAACCATAGATAAGAACTGTTAGAAACTTCACTAATAGTACGAAAAGTTGGGGGCGGGGGAGACCCCCGGAATATATTTGGGGAATGTCAGCCAGGTTTTTTCCCAGCTGTTGGCACCACACATTTTTCAATTAACTGAAAATTTCAAACCAGATTTAATACAATCACAAACCTCTGCAAAACGAAGACTTTGTGTAAACCCTTACTCCTTCACTAAACAGGAGGAGCAGTTACGCATTCAGTTGTCCTCTGTTTTTGAAAAGTACATAATGCTCTGCCAAAAATGTTTGAACTAAGTGATAAGATATAAAGTAGCAGCAAAAGGCCTTGGTAGGATAGGAGAACACCTACTCCAAGCTGTTGTCAGTGAAACATCGGCCAGTGCAGAGTACAGCAGCGGTCAAACCTACTGTACAAAAGGAACACGTAGACGGACAGGAGGAGGCAAACTGCTAGCCCAATCTTCTCTTAGCTAAGGAGGAACGCATTCCAAAGTTCTCTTGATTAGCACCAGCAAGCCTGGCCATTCCACTGCATGGGACAGTCCTTCCTTGCTTACCAATCTACTCGTGTATACGTTACCTCTGGCAAGAGCAAGGGAAACATTGCCACGGTCCTACTTCCCTTTTGGAATGTGTTTGCTTATGAATTTCCATTTTCCAGCAGTCAGGATTTTGCTATTGAAACAAGTTCTGACCTGAGAAAAATTGGACACAATTGAAAACCTCCATGAAATACACCGTAGAATAGTCTGTAAAGTAGTCCACGATCATTTGTGTGGCAAATCCCATCTTGGGTGGTCATGAAAACACACACATACAAAGGCTCTGAAATGTCTGGGAATCCATAGCACAATGTTAACATCCAACAGCAGAGATGGTGATGGATTCAAGACACAGTTCGTATGGAGCTGGGGCGGGGGGGACACCACCCTTCCTCCTACAAGTGACAAAGAGCGGACTCTTCAGCGCGCCGAAGTCAAGTGGTTCCTGCTGTGTGAGAACCTGAGGGAGAGAGCAAGAAGATTTTGCTGGCTTCATAATGAACACAGAGCCAGGCATGTAGCCAGGGGGCGGGGCTTGGGGGGCTTCAGCCCCCCCCCCCCCAATTCTGATGGTGGTCCGCGAGAAGGCTTTACTGGTACATTATTTAAACTGTTATGTTTATTCATATCATGATCTGATCACCATGCTCAATATATCCCATATGCATGGGGGTATTGGGATAACGATACAAAAGGTTTGCTATGGTAGACCCTCTCACTCAGACTCAGCCCCCCCCCCGAACCAAACTCAGCGCCCCCCCCCTTAAAAAAAACAAAATCCTGGCTACGGGCCTGCACAGAGCTATTATTTTTTTCAGATACAACTATAAAAACATCAAACAACATGTTTAACTAAAATTACATTGCCCAGATCAACAACTACTCCTTGGTTCTGCCTTAGTCCCCAGTATAGATTTAGATTTCTCTGTTTCATCCATCCACTAATTAAAGGATTAAAATTACTACCATATGACTTGAAGAGAGAGCCTGAGGTTCAAAATACGCAGCTGTACATTGGCTCCAAGCAAACAGCAGCATTACAAGAACACACACTAGGAAAGATGTAGAACTAGTTTCGTTACAGCCGCGCCCTACTCCAAAAGTAAATCTTGTCAATTAGCAGACATAAACCCATTTACCTTTGCACTCGCTCCACCATATGTGCAATTAATTTGTCAGAGATTCCTGGACAAGATTCTTCCGCTAAGCCAAAGGCGTTCTCCAGTTCCTCCATGGCTCCGACATTCCCTCCAGTCTGCTTATGCTTGTCTTTGAGCTGCCAAGAAGTTAATTAGCAAATTGTTTGGAACATCAGGAAAAAAGTAGGACTAATGCAGAATTACTGTTTTTACTTGAGGTGAACAGCATTAACTGGCACTGTGATAAAGCAGTACAATAACACAAAAACAGAGACAAGTGTAATAAAGTCTAAGAATGCAGGACTAAGCACAATTTATCTGACATTATTGAGACTTATTTCTAGAGACAAGCACTTAAGAAGAGGCTGTAAACTCTCATTTCTCTTAGCCTTGTGGCTCCTGGAAAACCTTTCCAGATTAAGCATTTGGATTGTTCTCTAACATACCCAGTTGTTGCTCCATGAGTTGATACAACAGCTATTACTCCCTTTTTCCCTGTGTCAAGAGTGACTTGAGAAACTGCAAGTTGCTTCAGGTGTGAGAGAATTAACCCATCTGCAAGGACATTGTCCAGGGGATGCTAGAATGTTTGATGCTTTACCATCCTTGTGTGAGGCTTCTCTCATGTCCCCTCATGGGAACTGGAGCTGACAGAGGGAGCTCAACACACTCTCCCCGGATTCAAATCGTTGACCTGTCAGTCAGCAAGTCCTGCCGGCACAAGGGTTTAACCCATTGTGCCACCTGAGGCTCCAATTGCAACCCATGAGAAGCAGCATAGTGCTTTACAAAAACACCAAAGTGACCTGAGCACACTGCTTAGTAAAATTCAAAGTAATTGCTGGAGAAGCTATTGATTAGACACATATGGGGATTCTTGTCATATTTGTAATTTTAACACTGATTTACTCATTGCTTCACCCTTACTCAGCATCCATTATCTACTTTATAGGCTAAAACCATGGTCAAACATTTTGAAACCAAGTTTAACATCACTATTCTTACGCAAAAGATAGAATGCAATATTTGGAAGCTTTGGGCCATACATTTCGAGCAACCTGTGTAAACAGAAGTGCAAACACGGCACACACATTAGGGAATGCAAAGCTGATCAACCTTGCTCCACTGAAAAATGACTCCATCCGCTGTGCAAACTAAGTCACTTTGACCTGTCCTCACAGAGCCCGGATTGTAATCCAAGGATCAGCCAAATTGCCCTTTGCTGAGCTCAGGCTACCTCCCACGTTGTCAGGATGTAGAACAGGACAAGTCTTAATAATAATAATACTCTGAGGAAACATGATCTATTCTAGGCCCCC